GTGAGCTGCGTTGTGGGGTCACCATTCTTCCGGCTTTCCCGAAATCGCGCTCGCATGGTATGAAGAATGAACTGCCAAAGCCCGGCGAGAGAATATGGCACCACCGTCGCCCTTCCCTTTTGGCTCGAGAGAAGATGGAACTGATACAGGTCCTTGAGCCGATTTCAGTGATTAACCACATCGGGTAATCCGAATCCGGAAACCAGTGCTACGTTCTCCCCGGTCTGTACAAGCTCCGAATCTCGTTGTTGGACGTCACACCTTCCTTAAGAGACTGCCGATCGACCAAGACGGAGAGACGCTTCTTTAGGCCGGAGAGCTGTCCAATCTGGCGACAACAACTCGGAAATTTCTCCATAAAGCTTTTCATCGTGTCTTTTTCCGGCGATACACTGACCGCGAGGTAATGAATTCATGCTCCTACGCGTTCGAGATGCAGCTACTGCTTCACCCTAACTTCAAGAATCCAGACGGAGCGCTAAAAAAGGTGATTCTAATGTCTAATTTGCAAGCCGGCGCGTCGCAACAGGTGCCAGATCGCCACTTCATTAAGGTTCGCCGTAAGATCATCGATGGTGTCCGCAGAATTATGGAGGCAGTGTACACTCAGCCAACATCTCCCGGAATCGTTGCTCCGTCTCCAGTAGCATTGTTTTCAGAGGATCTCGTGGAGTTATTTGCAGAAACGGCAAATGAGGTGGCACCACCGTCTGTCGACACACATACGGCAATGCGCGAGCACCGCATTGACGAAGAGCTCGACCGTTGGCTTTCGACCCCTACTTCGCTGAAAGTAATAAGTCCCGGTGAGTTTGAGCCCATCCTGAGCTTTTGGAAGCGTCAACATGACCAAGGCAATTTCCGGCTTCTGTCTCTTGTTGCGCGCGTCCTGTTCTCAATGCCCTCTTCGTCGGCACAAATTCGGCCAGTGGATCCCAGAGTAGGAGTATACGTCGGACAACGCGAGCAAGCCCCAAAAAACGATGAATCTTGAAGCTGAGAATGGGGCGCGTTCACATCCTCGTCGGTCATAACACTGCAAAGCTCCGAAAAGAGAGTGCCCAGCACTTCCACATGCTGTGTCTGGTACACAGTTTCGACGATGCGTCGAATCATGTCCGTCATCGCTGTGTTCTTCGATGAACCGCTCTCCGCAACGATGCCAAATGCGGTCCTGGTCGCCGCATGTGTAAAGTGCGGTACGCACCATTCCCAGCACAATTTGAGCCCTGACCTCATCATCCATTTGACATCGGGTCCACCGTCGCTGGTAGACCCGAAGAGGTCGTGACGACTAAGTCCAAAGTCCTATAACGTATCCCCCATCCAGCGATAGAATGGACCTCGGATTCCGCCATCACGTTCGCCATACTGCGGGGCAAAATATCGGGTCCCTAGCAACACGGATTTGAACCGGTACGACGAGTCCACTAGATAGAGTCTCAATTCCAAAAAAATGGTATTCATCGCGGACGCCGTCCAGAAGTCTCCAACGACGGAGAAGCTTTTTTGCTGAACCGATCCTGTTTTCTGTCAGCATCACTTGGACTTGACGCTTTGTCGCATCGTAGAGTTCCACGACAGAATGGCGGATGACCTTGGCGTTTAATGCTACACGAGCCTCCTCCTTGAGCATTAAGTCTCGGATTATCAGCGACTCTTCGTACTCTCCAATTCTGAACGGAAGGTTGTTGTTCACGATACGCAGTGTCTCCAGCAAGACGAACGCGCGGCCAGGATCATAGCGAAAGAGTGGACTCCTCTTCAAAACGGCCAGATCTTCGTCGCGGGTTCTTTTCCTGCCCTCCTCGCTGGCGGTTTTGTCGGAGCCAACGTCGTGTGCCTTGGTTAGATGAAGCGTCACTTTTGACGTCTTCCCACCTGGCATCACGATCTTTAAACGCTGCGTGCGGCAAGTCTCGGCTGTCATGCACATCAACACAGCAGGTGCGTTGGTGTCGGCCGTGCTGACGACGCGGACACCCCAGTCGTAGACGAACGACGTCTCACTCGGCTTGGCACGTAATATCTTCGTTCCAGCTTTGGGGACAAAGGCCTGGATGGCCTCCCGTACAGCGGTCGGTATACTAGCTTCGTCGCGACGCCTTCTCGCTCGGGGTCCATGAGCATCTGCTGAAGATCGCGAAGTGATAGCAGGAAGCAAATAGCCTTTTAAAGCGCCTGTCAGCGCAAAAAAAGCCAAAACGCATCATAAATTTGCCAATGAAGTACGTCAAACTGGAGAACCCTCGCCCCCTCCCATATCAATGGGTTCAGGCTCCCTTTACTTATGGGAGGAACTTTGAAACGGGT